ATGAGGTATAACGCCCTACTCGGAAGGCCTTAGATCCATAACATGAGGGCAATCCCCTTGACTCTCCACCAAATGATGAAATTTCTGACGACGGACGGTGTAAAAGCAGTATACAAGGAGCAGCATGCCGCAATGGAAATGTTTGCGGTCGATGAGGTAACACCAATTCAACACTATCAACTTCGGAAAGGTCGAGCATCAAAGGTAAACAGAAACCCAAATAGCAATCACAGCCACCAGCCTCGGCTGAAGTGGGAAAGCAGGAGATAGAAGAAGAAGAGGAGGATTTTCTAACCCCTCGAACCTTTATTGTTCCCGAAGACTCCGATGCCACCAAATCAACGTTCGAAGAGCTGGAACATGTTATATTGATCGAGTACCTGCCCGAGCGAAAGGTATACCTGGGAACGTGGTTAACCCCCAAACTTAGGAAAAAGCTTATTCAATTTCTTATTGATAACATGGATTGTTTTTCTTGGTCCCATTTAGACATGACAGGGATCCCACCGGAGATAATAACGCATCGGCTAAGCCTTGACCCCAGGTTCAAACCGGTAAAATAAAAGAGAAGGCCCCAGTCTGAGGTAAAGCACGCATTCATAAAGGACGAGGTAACTAAACTTCTCAAAATTCCATTCGGGAACTAAAATATCCCGAATGGCTAGCCAATGTAGTCGTAGTCCCTAAAAAAGGGAACAAACTTAGAATGTGTGTAGACTATAAGGATTTAAACAAGGCATGCCCTAAAGATTCTTTTCCACTTCCTAACATCGATCGCATGATCGACGCCACGGTTGGCCACGAGATCCTTACCTTTCTCGATGCCTATTCCGGGTATAACCAAATTCAAATGAACCCGGAAGACCAGGAAAAGACTTCATTTATTACCAAGTATGGAACATATTGCTATAACGTAATGCCCTTCGGGCTAAAAAATGCTGGAGCTACTTACCAACGCCTAGTAAATAAAATGTTCGAAGAACAAATAGGTAAGTGAATGGAAGTTTATATCGATGACATGCTAGTTAAGTCCCTGCATGCAGAGGACCATTTGGCTCATTTGCAGGAGACGTTCGATATTTTGAGGAGATATAACATGAAGCTCAACCACGAGAAATGTGTTTTCGAGGTCAGTTCGGTAAATTCCTGGGCTTTATGGTGTTGAACCGGGGGATTGAGATCAATCCTGATAAAATCAAGGCCATCAAAGACATCACCGTCGTGGACAGTGTAAAGGCCGTGTAGAGGCTAACTGGATGGATAGCTGCTTTAGGCTGATTCATCTCGAGGTCATCAGATCGAAGCCACAAATTTTTCTCTTCGGTCAAAAAGAAGAACGATTTTACTTGGACCCCGGAGTGAAAACAAGCATTAGAGGAATTAAAGCGATACCTATCGAGCCCACCACTTCTTCACCTCCAAAGGCAGATAAGAAACTTTACTTGTACTTGGCAATATCGGAAATCGCGGTAAGTGGTGTCCTAGTTCGGGAAGAGCAAGGTACGCAATTTCCCGTTTATTATGTAAGTCAAACCTTAGGAAAAGAAAAAATTAGGTAGCCACACTTAGAGAAATTGGCACTTGCACTGATAAGCGCTTCTAGAAAGTTAAAAATATACTTTCAATGTCACCCCATATGCGCATTAACCACGTACCCACTTCATAATATTTTACACAAGCCCGAACTATTGGGCCAATTGGCCAAATGGACTGTCGAACTCAGTGGGTATATCGAGTATCAACCTCGAACGACCGTGAAGTCCCAAATTTTGGCGGACTTCGTGGCCGATTTCATGCCAACCCTCGTACCCGAAGTTGAAAAAGAACTTTTGTCAAAATCAGGCACATCATCGGGGGTGTGGACCCTTTTCACAGATGGTGCTTCGAATGTGAAGGGGTCCGGGTTAGGCATCGTTCTGAAGCCGCCCACGGATAGCACTATTAGGCAGTCCGTCAAAACTTCTAGGTTGACTAACAATGAGGCCGAGTACGAGGCCATGATTGCAGGTCTCGAGCTAGCTAAAAGCTTGAGAGCGGAAGTCATTGAAGCCAAGTATGACTCTTTACTGGTGGTGAACCAAGTAAACAAACCTTCGAAGTTCGAGATGATAGAATGCAAAGGTATTTGGACAAGCTGCAGGTAACTTTACACTGTTTCAAGGAATGGACTTTACAGCATGTACCTCGAGAACAAAACTGTGAAGCCGATGCACTTACAAATCTGGGGTCGTCGGTCGAGGAAGATGAGATCAGCTCGAGGACTGTCGTTCAACTCTCGAGATTGGTGATCGAGGAAGGTCATGCCGAGATAAACTCTACAAGTTTGACCTAGGATTGAAGGAATAAATATATTGAATATTTGAAGAATGGAAAGCTCCCACTGAACCCTAAAGAGTCGAGGGACCTACTAACCAAAGATGCTTGATTCACGTTGGATGAAGATGGAACATTATACAGAAGGACATTCGATGGACCATTGGCAGTATGTTTAGGACCAGGAGACACCGATTATGTTTTACGAGAGGTCCATGAAGGCACTTGTGGAAACCACTCCGGCACCGAGTCGTTGATTCATAAAATCATCAGAGCAGGATACTACTGGGATAGCGTGGAAAAAGACACTAAGGAGTTTGTTCGAAAATGTGATAAATGTCAAAGGTTTGCACCGATGATCCATCAGCCCGGAGAGCAACTTCATTCAGTCCTACCCCCGTAGCCATTCATGAAATAGGTGACTGATATCGTCGGCCCTCTGCCAATGGCCCCAGGTAAAGCTAAGTTCATTTTATTTATGACTGACTATTTTTCTAAATGGGTTGAAGCACAGGCGTTCGAGAAAGTAAGAGAGAAAGAGGTTATAGACTTCATCTGGGATCACATCATATGTCGATTTGGGATACCCGCCGAAATAGTGTGTGACAATGGAAAATAATGTATCGGCAGCAAGGTAACGAAATTCCTCGAGGAGCACAAAATAAAAAGGATATTATCAACACCGTACCATCCTAGCGGGAATGGACAAGCCGAATCGACGAACAAGACTATCATTCAAAACATAAAGAAAAGGTTGAACGACGCTAAGGGGAAGTTGAGAGAAATGTTACCCAAAGTCCTTTGGGCATATCGAACAACACCGAAGTCTAGTATGGGGGCAACCCCATTCTCCTTAGTAAACAGCTCCGAGGCCTTGATTCCGGTCGAAGTCAGGGAACCTAGCGCCAGATTTCGACATACGATGGTAAAATCAAATCACAAGGCTATGAATACTAGCCTCGGGCTATTGGATGACAGATGAGAAGCTGCGCTCGTTCGGATGGCTGCGAAAAGCAAATAATCGAGAGATATTATAATAGAAGAACCAACCTTCGCCACTTCGGAATCGGGGACTTAGTTCTAAGGAAAGTCACCCTCAACACTCGAGACCAAACAAAGGAAAACTAGGCCCAAATTGGGAAGGACCATATTGGGTCCTCGGTATCATCGGAAAGGGGTCTTACAAACTTGGCACAATGGAGGGCGAACAATTTCCCAACAATTGGAATGTATCACTCCTCAAAAGGTACTATTGCTAAGGTATGACTTTCCCCCTTTTCCATTTGTATTTGATACTAACTTTTTTCAGGTGTTCGATTGAGGATGTCGAGAAACTTTTCAACACGAGAACCTTAGGTTTTAAAGCACGCGCACTCTTTTTTCCCTTAGATCGGTTTTTATCCCAAATGGGTTTTTCCGGCAAGGTTTTTAACGAGGCAACAATTATGTGCTATGTGAGAAAAATTCAACAATATCCAAGGCTTCTTTTTAATCAACCTCGAATACTGGGGGGGGCATCACCCTCGGAGGTTATATTTTTTAGGAAAATATTTCATGTCAAAGGGTCTCAATAGGGAAACTTTGTAATGGGCCAAACGGTCGAATGAACCATGTCCATATAGATTAGTCAAGCCCCGATGGGAAAACATGTATGCATGTATAAATTATTTCAAGAAGCATTCTTTCTATATCAAACATTTTGTGTCTCAAAGAAAACTTTCTACTATATGAGCTCTGTGCTTATGATTTTTGTGAGAAATGGCTCAAGGGCTAAGCGCAAATATACCTCGAATACTCGGGGACTGTCATCGACGATCGATATATTTGAGTTATCTCCACTCGAATTCATAAGACCTCAAAGAGGCACCCCTCGATCTATAGGCCAAGGCCATCATTCTCGAGGACTAACACTTCGAGCAAGTTCGAAGTGTTATTGGGATATAAGCCCAAGTGGCATACCCAAAGGCTACGGCCAAATTAATGCAGCTCGGAGACGTCCGAATCCCACAATCACAATAGGCCTTCAAATCTTTGAAAACCCGGTTAAAAAGGCTATTCTCAGCAAATAATCAAAAGGGATTCAATAAAATCAGCCCTCTAAAAAACTTAAGAGGTATCAAACTATCTTAACACAAACGTGCTAAGGAATAAAAAGCAAAGGGGTTTTAATCGACATCAAACCCTCAAAAAACCCAATGGGTGAAAAATATATGCTAAGGTATAAAGAAGATTTTACTAAGTATTTTAAGCCGAAAGAGGGGAATAATAGCCATCTTTTAGAGGCCATATCGGCCCGATCTAAAAAGCCTAAGGGCCAATACACTTAGAGTTCAAGATCTTGTTCTCACTCCATCCGAACCCAAGAGTTCGACTATCCCGAGCCCAAATAGAGAACAACTTGACTGAGGCTCAGGGACTCACCATTATCTGACACAAACCCTTAAGGACCCATGCCTCAAGTTCGAACCTTATTCGAGGTCGACTATGGTGACGTCAAGGAAGCCACCTAAGACCAAAGTCTCGAACACACCATTCAGAGCATAAGATTGTGCTAAAAATTTTACAAGACAAAAACATGTTTATAAAGATCGAGAAGGCATTCAAGAGAAACTTTCTTTTATATATTTGAAGAGGGATATGTACAAGAGATCGAAAAAGGTCTTACAAAAAAGAAGAAAAATAAAATCCTAACTATGCCCGGGGCTAGTTTCTCCCTCGGGGGCAGCTTCTCCTTCGGGCCCTTCATCGTTATCAGACCTGCTTTGGCTGCCTTCATCATCGTTATCATCGGAGGAGGAGACAAGCAACCTGGCATCAGCTTCAAGCGCCTTAGCTTGAGCTATCTCTTTAGAGAGGTCGAAACCTCGAGCATGTATTTCCTCGAGGGTTTCCCTCTGGGATTGGAACCTTGCCAAGTCATTGATCCGTTGCCCCCGATTGGAAGCCTCCCTTTGCTACGCCTGATCAGCCTCGCCATCGGCCAAATACACGGCTATGGATTTATCAGCCGCAATCTTCGCCTTCCCGACCTTCGCCTTGGCCTCAGCAAGCTTGGCCTCGAGCTCCTCGATCCTTTTTGGCTGAGCTGAACTCTTCTCTTTGATGACCCGAAGTTGGACCTCGGCCGATGACAATTTTGCCACGGCCGCCTCTTTTTCCGCAGCAAGGCGGTCTATGTTCTCCTTCAACCGATCGTAGTCGGCTTTGATTTGGTCAACTTCCCTCCGGAGAAGCTCGATCCTCTGCATCTTTTGCTGCAATTGAGATATTGAAGTGTTAGCCTCCATAGTTGAGTTGAGACAGTACTCTTTCAAAAGGGTATTTACCTGTGCATCTAGCTCGGCCTCTTCCTTACGAGCCTGGGCCAAGTCTGCTCGGAGGTCCCTGATCTCCTCTTCTTTCTTCACGTAGAGGCATTTGAGGGCATCTCTCTCCTTAGTAAGCTTCTTGAGATCGGCCTCACACCGGTTCAGCTCGGTCTAAGGCTTGGAGAATGCTTCTCGATGAAGCACCACAACCTATGGAGAAAGGAAAGAAATCGGCAAGAAGGAGATAAAAGCAAACATAATAACGAGGAATGAAGTTTACCTGGTTCAGGATATGATGGGCCTATTCAAAAACCATCATCGCGTCAAGGTCGGAAACATCATCGACCCCTGCAAGGCAGCTACGGAATATGTCTTCCCCATCGTGGTCCGTTCCCACATCGGGGGTCTCCATGGATCGAGCCTCCCAAAATTGCCCTTCAGAAAATTCAGGGTCAGGTGGCAAATCATTTATAATGAATTCCCCAATCAAGTCACTTGGGGCACTCTCCCCCTTTTGAAAAGCCTTACTGTCGGACCCCTTGGGCACACTCGCCGTCTGTTCATCATGGCAGGAAATATCTTTGACCACCGATGGCTCTGGGACTTTGCTCGGCGTAACTTCTGAGATCTCCTCGGTCTGAGGATGAGTCTCCTTGACCATCACTGGCCCAACTGTTTTTGGAGCCTCGACGCTCCCCCTTTTTCGAGGCACCGGCTCACAACCGACGTCCTCCCCCTCCTCATCTTCATCTTGTAGCATTTGGGCTACGCCAACAGAAAGAGCAGCAGTGTGATGACCCAAAAGGTCCTCACTTGATTTACAAGTAAATTCTGTGTTCCAGGCCTCAGAAACCTCTTTTAGTCCCATCTCAATTTGCGTGCACAGTCCGGGCGCGTTTCCGGAAAGTTTTTTATGTGAAAACTAAGTAAAATATGGAAATTGGCTTTTAAAATTGAATAAAGTTGACTTTGGTCAACATTCTTGGTAAACGAACCCGGACCCGTGATCGGACGGTCTCGTAGGGTCCGTAGTAAAATATGGGACTTGGGCGTATGCCCGGAATCGAATTCCGAGGTCCCAAGCCCGAGAAATGAATTTTTAAAGAAAATTGTTTTCTGGAAAAAATAAAGGTTTTTAGAAGTGAATTGATGCATTTTCTTGATGGTATCGGGCCCGTATCTTGGTTCCAGAGCCCCGTACAATTTTGAAATAATGATTAAGTTGAATCTATAAAATTTGGTAAAGATCGGAATTGGTTTGGTATAAAACGGACCTATAGTTGAGAAAATAGTAATTTTGATGTTCTTGAGTGATTTCATGAATTTGAGGTTTAATTCATAATTTTTAATGTTTTTTTGATGATTTGATCGCACGAGCAAGTGCGTATGATGTTTTTGGACTTGCGTGCATGTTTGGTTTGGAGCACTGAGGGCTCGGGTGAGTTTTGGATAGGCCACGGAGTAAAATTGGACTTAGGAAAAAGTTGTTGGTATCTGATAGTTTGCCCAGGTCTCTGATCTCGCAATTGTGAGATCAGGCTTCACAAATGCGAAGTCCTCAGGCATGGGAATTGCACCCAGGTGTCGCAAATGCGAACCTAGCCTGGGTAGGCCTTGGTCGCAAATGCGACCCTTCTATCGCAAATGCGACTGTTCTGAGACTTGGTATCTAATATTTTTCCCAGGCCTCTGATCTCGCAATTGTGAGATCAGGCTTCGCAAATGCGAAGTCCTCAGGCATGGGAATTGCACCCAGGTGTCGCAAATGTGAACCTAGCCTGGGTAGGCCTTGGTCGCAAATGCGACCCTTCTATTGCAAATGCGAGGTTGCAAATGCGATTGTTCTCTCACAAATGCGAAGCTTAGTGGATTTTCCAAGGGTCGCAAATGCGACATATTCTTCGCATTTGCGAAGATAGCAGGTCCTGAAGGGGTTCGTAATTGCGAACCCTGGTCGCAATCGCGACATCTGAGACCAGGCCTGATATTTTGCCCAGGCCTCTGATCTCGCAATTGTGAGACTTAGACGCTTTTTTCTTCATTTTTCAAACCTTCTCAAAACCTACACTCTCTTGGGCGATTTTCTAAAGAAAAGTTCTTCTCCAAATCAATTGTAAGTCATTTCTAACTCGTTTTCTTTAATCTATAACATCTTTTTACATGATTTCAACTCAAAATCAAGGGTTTTCATGGGTGTTTTGGATAGAACTTAGGATTTTCAATTTTTTGGGATTTGGACCTTGATTTGAGGTCCGATTTCATAACAAATTACATATTTGAGTTCGTGGGTGAATGGGTAATCGGGTTTTGGTTCGAACCTCGGGTTTTGACCATGTAGGCCCAGGGTCAATTTTTGACTTTTTGGGAAAATCTTTAGAAAACCTATTTTCATGCATTAGAATTGATTCATTTAACATTTATTGATATCGTTAAGTATATTGTGGCTAGATACAAGCGAATTGGAAGTGGAGTCGAGAGGTAAAGCGGTAGTTGAGGTTTGAATTGTGTTCGTGGCATCGAGGTAAGTGTTTGGTCTAACCTTAGCTTGAGGGATTAGGAGTTGTGTCTTATTTGCTATGTGTTAATTGTTGAGTACGACATATAGGCATGGTGACGAGTATCTATACGTCGGTGTCAAGCATGCCCGTGAGTTTTATACTATGATAAATGTGACTCCGTTTTGTATTGTTCATGCCTTATATGATGATTTCTATTGTTGAACAAGTCTTGTGGAAGTATTATTGGTAATTGAACATTGTAGAGCATTGGCTCAAGTTGTGAATTGAGTTGTGAAAGTATTATTGGTAATTGAACATTGTAGAGCGTTGGCTCAAGTTGTGAAGTAATTGTGGAAAAGAGAAGAGGTTTATGATATTGTCTCCCTTGCCGGGATGTTATTTCTTTTGATATTATCTCCCTTGCCGGGATGTTATTACTCATGATATACTTTCCCTTGCCGGGATATTGTTGTTATGCTATTGTTCCCTTGCCGGGATTCTATTGTGATTTTATTGATTCCCTTGCGCGTATTGCTTTGTGATTGTTGTTTGGGTAAGGAAGAGTGTAAAAGCACGAAGGGTGATGTCGTGCATGATATTTGTGAGAGAGTGTTAATGCACGAAGGGTGATGCTGTGCCAATATTGTGAGGTTAAAGCACGAAGGGTGATGCCGTGCCGCATGATGTACAATGTCGTGCCATGATATGAGTGATAATGCACGAAGGATAATTCCGTTCCATGATTATGTGAGGTAAAAGCACGAAGGGTGATTCCGTACCGATTATATTGATTCTTATGGTGAGGACGAGAGTAAAAGCACGAAGGGTGATGCCGTGCACTTGTCCTTGATTTTCCTGATTCTTGCTGATAATTGAGTTATGGTGTTCTTTACGTTTATTTATTGATTTTCTGTTGTTACTTGATTTTATTGTGATGTTATTGATTCCCTTGCCCAAATTGCTTTGTGACTGTTGCTTGGGTGAGGAAGAGTGTAAAGCACGAAGGGTGATGCCGTGCATGATTTTGAGAGTGTAAAGCACGAAGGGTGATGTCGTGCATGATTTTGAGAGTGTAAAGCACGAAGGGTGATGCCGTGCACATGTCTTTGATTTCCTGATTCTTGCTGATAATTTAGTTATAGTGTTCTTTACATTTACCTATGGATTTTCTGTTGTTACTTGATATTCCCCCGCAGCATGTTTCCCCTTCCCATCTTGCTGTATATGATATAACTGCACAGGTTTAATTGGTAGTCTTGTCCTAGCCTCGTCACTACTTCGCCAAGGTTAGGCTAGGCACTTACCAGCACATGGGGTCGGTTGTGCTAATACTACACTCTCCACTGTTTGTAGATCCCGGAGCTGTAGCTTTTGGACCACAGTGAAGTTGCTGCCTTCAGTCCAGTGGCGGAGACCCGAGGTAGTCTTGCAGGCGTCCGCATGCCTTGGCGTCTCCATCTATCATTTCCTTTCTGTTTTTACTTATTCAGAGACAGATTCGTGTATTTCTATTCAGACTTTATTTGTAGTACTCATAGATGGTCCGTGACATTGTGACACCAGGTTCTGAGCAGAGTTGTACTTAGACTTCCGCAGTTTGTATTAATCTAAACTATCAAATTTCGTCTTCCGCATTGCTTTTGTTGTTATTATTTCCGCTGCTTTTGTTATGTTGTTTTGGCATTGTTAAGGTATTAAAAATGAAAATGGTTAAATAATTGGAATAATTGGCTTGCCTAGCTCTCACTAGTAGGCGCCATCATGACTCCCGAGGGTGGGAAATCCGGGTTGTGACAAGCAGAGTCGCCCCTCGGCTTACGAGCTCTACTCTTCTTAGGCTTCGGGGTATAAGAAGGCGAGGCCCTTCTCCTCTTCTTATTTGGCTGGTTTGGGAACCACCTTTTCCCCAGGCGGGGCCGGCCTCAATTCAGCAACATCCCCGAGGCCTGCGTAAAAGGAAGTCAAGTATGTGTGAGAGGAAATTTTTCAGAAAAGGACGTCATAAGCATACAGGATAAGCATACCATGATTTTTAGCCTCCCATCTGCCCTTTGCCATGTCACGCCAGCAGCACTCGACATGGGAGGAAGTTGTAGCCAGTTTCCGAACCCAGTCTTCAAGGTCGGGGACCGCGTGAGGCATCCAGGCAACTACTGCATAACAGATAAGAGTATTACACAAAGCAAAAAATAAAGTACAAAGATTAATGGCTAATACTTACAATCGGGGGTTCCATTTCTTGGGGAACGGTAGTTTCTCCTCCGGGATGAGGTCACAGGTCCTTACCCGCACGAATCAGCTCATCCAACCTCGGTCCTTGTCCTCATCGATACTTGCAAAAAAGGATTTCGACGATCGGCGTTGAAGCTTGATTAATCCTCGATAAAGTTTTGGTCGATTCATCCGTATAAGGTGGCTGAGAGTGAACTCCAACCCCTTGGCCTTACCAGAGAAGAAGCAGAGCATAATCACTATGCGCCAGAACAATGGATGCACCAGGCCGAGGGTAACCTGGTACATCTTGCAAAAATCGACGATAACTAGGTCAAGAGGACCCAATGTGAAGGGGTAAGTGTAAATACTTAGAAACCCCTCCACGTGAGTGGTGATACTTTCTTCGGGGGTGGGGATCTGTACCACCACCTCGGGCCCCCGGTTCCAGTCTTCCTTCACGGATTCGAGCTGTTTCTCCATTATCGATCAAATATACCTCGATACATGTTCACATCGGCCAGGGACCAACGGAGGGTTCTCGACTTTGAAGTCGTTTTTTAGGACACAAGGGCCAAGAACAATCTCGTGAAGGAGCGGTTCCACCGGCATTTTGTCACTGGCTGGCCGGGAAGAAGAAGAAGAAGAGGCTTTCTTCTTTTGAGGGACGGTTTTGGATGTTTTCCCCATTGATTCAGATGAGATGAAGCAGAAAGAGGTGGAGTTTGGTATTTTTGGTCCTAAAAGATCGAATCAACGAGCGGTGGAAGAGAAGAGATGGAGAGAGTAAGAGACTTAGAGAAATTGGTGAAGATGGAAGTAAAGTTTTGATTCAAATGGGAAACCTGTATTTATAGGTTCACGGTGACGGTTCGGTGGCGCTAGTGGCCGACCGTCATTGGCAAGCATTTAATGTTTTGGGGAACCAAACCGACGGGATGTTTCGGTCACCTCGAGCGCTTACGTCATGGGGATGATGTCATTATCGGGGCTTCCAGAAAATCGAGGCTCAAGTCGTTTCTTATCATTTTGTTCTAAGAAACGTGGGGAC